TGGCAGTGTCTTATTGAAAGGTGTACCTCAGAAGTACATAAACCCTGTGAAGGTTCTTTACTCGAACACTATCAGTCGATCTGTTGTCTGATCTCCATTTTTGTTTAATTTCATCATAGACCGATGCATATATGTGCCTAATCCTACATTGTAACTGACTGATTTTTAATGAAACAACTTATTTTCACATAAAACTGACATATGAAAGAGGTATAGAGAATTTGTTTGTTTAAATGCTTTTCTTCGAAACATTGCATACATTCTAAGGTCTATCAACATGTGATAACCACCATCAAATGTTCAATACTCACTTGATTATGAGATAACATAACATTTGAATGTTACAATGCTCTGGTTGGGAAATTCGTTTATTTGTTCGGCGGACTGAACATTTATTGTTTACCTTGGACTTCTTTCAACCCAATTCGATTGCTTCTTAATCTTTTCTAATCGATTTGTATCTATGTTTCTTCTATGATAGAAATACGGATCTGTCATTTGAAAAACAACGTCTCATATTTTAATAATGTAGCCTGTTTGGTATAGCCAATCCTTTTCATCACAAACTGACAATTATATCGTGTGTGTGAACTCGCGACACTACGGATCATCGTTGAACAATGATTTGAATGGAACTCGTCACTATACATCAGCTTCATTGAGTATGAGAAAGCATTTGACAGCGTGAATAGGGAGGACAAAATGGAAACTTCTTTGACACTGTAGTGTACTTGAGAAGATCATCAATATCATGCGGAATTCACACGATGGAGTACAGTGCAAAGTGGTGCATGGAGGACAGCTGACAGATGTATTCTAAGTGAGGACTGGAGTCAGACAAGGCTGCTTACCCTCCCCCTTTCTCTATCTTCAGGTGGTTGACTGGATAATGAAAACCACGACACCTGAGAGGAAGCACGGAATACAATGGGCAACTTGCATGCAACTAGACGATTTGGACTTGGCAGGTGTTTTTCCACGGTCAACGATCAACCATATTTTACTTTCACTTCCTCATATCAGTTTGTGTGTGGATCGCATTTTCTATGCATTCGGCCATCATCGACTTTTCATTATCACAATACTTTGAATCATTGTAACGATCTTCTGTTGCAACCTGGCTTTATTGCTGGTAGTAGTCAACGTAGCTGGAGGAAGTTTAGTCGATGTAAACATATAGTTTCTTAGTTGCTTCAGCATTTCAGTTGATCACATCATCATGCAGTAAAATTGGTTCATTAATTATCCTGATGTTTCTTTATATTAGCAGATATATTTATTGACTGCTGTTATGCTGTTCTTGTCTAACGAAATTTATTTTTGTCTTATTCTCTTCGTATATCTGTTTTACTTTAGTACAGCCATTAATTCTTTTTGAGTTTCCTTCCCTATGTAATAAAGTCACCATTTGCTATTTTTTTAAGCATTGTGATGAAATTTTTAGTATCATCTGTCCAGTTACCAATATTCTGTATTCGCACCTTTTCTTATATTAGTAAATATGAATATCAGTTTATGGATTGTGGAGATTGTTAAGTTTTTGGTCGAGATCATGAACCGATTGATATTAGACCACCATTGAAAACCTGGAAGCACTGGATGGCCGTTTCGTCCTTTTGTGGGACTCCTCAACAGTGCGCATCCACGACCCCGGTCGCGGGATTCGAACCCAAGGCCTTCAGTCTCGCGCGCGAACGCTTAACCTACCGGACCACTGAGCCGGCATCCAATGGTGTTAATGTCTAACCTCAACCGACCCACGAAATTGCGCGACCATCTTCCATTTCAATGGTGGTCTTACATCAATCGGTTCATGATCTCAATCAAAAAAATGTGTGTTGTTTAACTAGTCATCGAACGAAAGCCATGATTAACGCTTTACTACAGTAGTTTGATTAGTATTAACAAAAAATATCTTCACTTAATAACAATACAATTGAGTATTCACATTGAACACTAGTTACATAAATAGTTTTTGTGGTGTAAATTCTCGTGTAACATTCCCTTGGGTTATGTAATTCAATGTTTCAGTTAACTTCATGCATCTATTTTCTGTCTGATAAACAGGAATAAAGAAACTTAGTAGTGTGTAATTTGATTCTGTTTTTTTGTTACTTCCTGATTCTACAAATTACTGAATTGTTTGTTTTAAATATTTGTTTAAGTATTTACTATTTTCATAACTTTACGTATGAAGTGGTAGGTTGATTATGGTTTTTAAGTAAATTTGATTGTTTAGTCAGATTACAGAAACCAAGTTTACACATTGAAATTTGCGATTTCTTTTTAAAGAAACAAATAACTTTTTAATGTTCTACGAAGTGTCAATTACTTCCATGTGTACTACTTTTTTAAGAAAGTTGAATTAGATTAGTAACTTTCGTTATAATTTGCTAGGATGTTAACTCTTGTACGATTACCTTAGGAATATGTGGCTTATCAAACAAAGTTTATAGAAATCCAACTTCACTCATCGAGATACAGTTTTACGCTTTAGGTTAGTGAGTTCAGGTAGTGTGCGCAGGAAGTTTTGTTTTCGATAATTTAAAACTTAATTCATTTGATCAATGTTGGTAACGTAATGAAAGGACATACGTATAATAAGTTATGGCCTAGGTACAGTGATTCAATATATTTATTAATTGTAATAAATATTGTGTATATAATTGCAAGGAGTAGACTGGTCAGTGTGGATCTTGTTTTCCGCTCTTTAATATCTTTCATCATAATGTATATACAAACGTTTAGAAGTCGTGATTAAGTGAAGATTTCAGTCCTCGTGATATAGCACGACAGACAAATGAATAGATACCTCGTTCAGAACTAAAGCATCAGTAGTTAACACTGGTGTCTATCAATTAGCCATTCAGTGTACGTGATTTCAGTATCCAATCAATTTGAATTTTCAGACAACTTGATACAATATAGGTAATGAATCATCGTGCACTAGCTGATTATTCATTAATTTCACTTTATCCATGTTCTTTTAAATCCACCACTGTTAGCATGATTAATAACGACCCCACTTCTAATGTTGACAAACCCACCTTTACCTTCAAAGGATACTGATGTTTAACCATTATTTGTTTTATTAAGATATTAAAGATTCAGCTATGAATTCATCAATGTCTCGAAGAATTTTTTTCTGTACACATTAAAGCTAGTGCGCGTCTAAACTCTTAGTTGGTTAATGAAAGTACGAATTTAACTTTTTGTTTAACGCATGAACTGTTAAGCTATTAGTAAACAATCTCCTTCAGTTAAATCGATAATAATACTAATCTGAATACTTTTGAAACAGTTCGGATAAAAAGATAGATATCAGAAGGGGTTTTGTGGAGATTGTGTGATTTCAATAGTTAAGATGTGGATGTGTCGCTCAATTTTTTGGATTATTTGAAGTTAGATATTTAGATGGTAGTTGGAGGTAGTCAACAGGAAACCCTGGACCCGGGTTTCGTGCTACTTGGCACTCGTCAGCAAGGTGTACCTGTAATCTTGAGGGAACTGGTGCTCCCTGGCGGATTCGATCTCGTGTCACCCAGCTTCACAGTCAGAGACGTTACCACTGAGCTATCCGAGCCGTGACTAACCTCCTGTAGGACTGAGATGTAATCACAATTGATTGATCACTGGGTGGTGATCAATGTCATGCTTGTCTAGTCCTTATTAGTGCAGATCGAATGCTATCGATCATGTGGCAATGTGGCCACCAGTCTAGGTGACTCGACACTGCGGGCACTATGTATTGTCGAGTGTCGAGTCACCTAGACTGGTGGCCACATTGCCACATGATCGATAGCATTCGATCTGCACTAATAAGGACTAGACAAGCATGACATTGATCACCACCCAGTGATCAATCAATTGTGAAGTTAGATATTAACACCGTTGAATACCGGCTCAGTGGTCTGGTGGTTAAGCGCTTGCGCACGAGACTGATAGGTTCTGGGTTCGAATCTCACGGGGTGGTGTATTTATTTATTTGAATACACAGATATTGGTACAAGGGGAAATCAGATACATATGCACCACAGAAATCTCACTTGATTTGTGTGAGGGCTGTGATACTACCCGGGTGCCCAAACCGAAGCAGGAGTTATTATGTAGTGGGCATTTGGGGGCCTCGAGTCGGGGTCGTGGGTGCGCACTGCTGGGGAGTCGCACAATAGGACGAAATGGTTATCCAGTGCTTACAGGTTTTCCATTGTGGTCTAGCTTCAATTGCCTCATGATCTCAACTATTAAAAAGATAGAATTTATTTAGTTATTTTAAACTATCGAGGGTATTTTTTCTAGAGATAAGAATTTGTGAACACTTATTAGGGGAACAAATAATCCAGACTCAATTTTATGTCGTTTAAAGATCCTCATCATATTAAAAGACTAATATTTGGACGTAGAATATTCTTTTCGATAAATTCTCTTCAGGTTCTAAAATTATCCAAACTAATAATCCGAAAAATGGCCAGATTAAGGGCCCTTAATATTAGTCAATTTTATGTATTGATAAATACATTTCATTCCTAATTTATGAAGAGAAACAATTTAATCATGAAATCAGCTATATCAGATTTGATTGAAATGCTTTTATCAAATGGTGTCGTAACAGTGATTCATAAATTATCTTTAAGATCACGTGTATATATGGGAAAAAAGAAATCATCCGGTAAAGCCATGAACGTAAAAATGTAATGTACTTTTCTCTATTTATCAATCAACCTAATAGAACCCTAGGTGTCATTACCAAGGTTTGACGTGATAATTTCAAATAGATTGAGTATTGGGTAGATTGTTATAAATAAAAAAAATTAAGAACTTAATTTTTCTGCTCATTGAGATATTACGAATATATTGTTTTTATTTACAAATAGAACCATGTTTCTGAACCCCTCTCAATATCTATCCTCACCTGATTCGACTAGTGGTCAGTAGCATGGATGTGGCTTACATATATATATATATCAAAAATTCACCATTGTTTTCTTTTCTTTTGACAGCTTGCCGTGAATAAATACTTCTTAACACAACAGAATAGTTCCACGTAAGCCCAAATTTTAATATCTTGTTGTTTTATAATCTACCTTAATATAGCCTTGTTATGTGTTTCGTTGTTCTTCGGATTTTGAAGTGTTGTTAGTTTTAAGTGGGAAATAAAAATTTTCTATTAAAGGAATTGGTATTAATTTATTGAATGTATGTCGTGTCCAAACATTGTTTTCTTGTAGTATAATATAGTTTCAAAGCTTTATGTATTTAACGAAAATTTCTAGTGGTTTATAGACTCAACCAATTTGTTTATTTCAGCATAGATAAACGGATATATGTAAATTATCAACAATCAACTTATATGTCACTTGGTTATCGATGCTCAGTACTGTAAAATCTCATTCACAACAAATATATCTTAATTACAAAAAGACTTTTGTGTGTATTAGTTTTTTTCGTGTTTTATTTCATGAAATTTTTCATTCAACTCTATACTTGTGTATACTTGTTCATGTTTACATGATAATGTGCTCTTTACAGAGTTTTTCTTTCCAATTTACATCAATGTTTAATTTGTTTTCAGTGGTTAAGTGAAATGTTGTTTATTGTTGTTTCGTTCTAGGTATTCTGACTTGCTTTTTAATTAAACCGACCGATATATTTAAATAAACTCTATGTGCGTGTATTAGATAAATCAGACTTACGTTTTCCAGTAGATCTATCATGAACTTTTCAAAATAAATATTGTTAAATATGTATATAGCTAAAAGTCATCATTCTTTGATGTTAAGTAATTTCATTGTGTCGTTGCAATAAAAATAATACGAAGAGTTTTTTTAAAAGTATTACACATACAGACATATGTACACTATCATTCTTGAGAGGTATGATACTGCAAACCTCTAAACTTCATACCAATTTTTTGTACAGTGACTTACAATTCTTTATATATTTCTAGACTGATGACTTATAGATTTCTGTAGTTGTGGGCGTCATCGCTTTTTTTATCATCATGTTTGGACTATCTAATAGTCAGAGAGGCTGTGCTTAGTTCTGTTTATACAAATCTATTTGTTAAATGTGAATGTGGGATTTGATTAGAATCACTGTCCCTCAAGTGAAGTCGACTTGAGCGAAATCAACTGATTATTAGCCCAGGTTTTAGATTTTTTAGACACTAGTACGATTGTTAGTTAGGTTAACAAACCATAACTCCTACTCAAAATTCGATAAAGGACACTGGTTTCTATTCACTTGTTCACAGGGTTTATGTGCAATGAATTGTTGGCGGCAAAATACCTTAAAATCGCTGAACAATTTTCATTCATGTTAAGCGCTTAGTATATTTAGTAAATCAAATATAGCCAGAGATAATATTTTATTTTTGCATACGTAAACACAAATCCTGTTTACTGTGTTTAGGTTTTTGACTCATCTGACACGATATCCAAAAATAACATAGAAGACTGAGTATTTAAAATTCCTCATCACTATCACAATTTTTTTCGTCCCGTAACGTGAATACATTGGATTCTCATTCAAGTTTATGTTTTTTTTACTACCATATATTTCTGTTTATTGAACTTTATTATTCAAGTTATTGACAAATTAATTAATCCATTCAACGCTAAACAATCATGACACGACTGACGCGTACACTTTCATGTATATTAGAAAAGTAACTCCTATGAAAATGTAAACAAAATGGAAATCTATTAGAACACAAATATACATGAAACATGTATAGAATTAACAAGGTGTGTTCATGCTGAATGATGTACTTAGCTTGAATATCATCAGATATCATCTATTTGTGGTATTTATTAACATCTTTCCTGGGAATACAGCTCTTACAATAATGTAAGCTTCAAAAAAGTTTGATAACACTGAAGAAGTGAGGGAAAGAAAAATGGTTTTATATTTAATTGTGAAAAAAATTAGAATGAAGTTTTTACAGGTTTATGAACCAAAATGGGTTGCACTCTGTCCCCTCCATACGGTAATGGCATATACTCCTCTAGTAGACAACTCTGATATGAGTACAAACTACTAGGAAATGCAACGCATATGCTAACTGTTCCATTTCGGTTGTAGTCAGCTAGAACCGCTCACTCTATAACTTTCTTTCATGATTTCTAAAACATTTATGTAATTCTATCTGGAGGCTACGACGCTCTGGACATTTTCTAATAAAGCGTATGAATCTGTCAGTAGTTTTTCAAATAACTCCACTTTTTTTTGCCTGTGATATGAATAGAATGTAAAGTTTCTGAATATTGTCTTATTGTGATGAAATAAAAATGTTAAACATTGATTTTACAAATAGTTATTATGCATTATTATCGATTATGTTTTACAAAATGAAACACTAATGCTAGGTAGAACTGTGATATCTAAAAATTCATAAATCGATTATGATATTTGTAATACAAATTTGATTAAATTAGAAGTATTACGTAATTCTTTTTTTTGGTAAAAGAAAGTAATTCTAATTAAAATCCAGTGTCAGTGGAATAGTTGTCACTGTACTGGTAATCGTTCCGCAGTTGTCTGGTACTCTTTAACTTTGTGCATCATCCTTATGGGATGAGACAAAATGCAGAACAAACCTCAAGTTTTCGTGTTGGATTGGAACCACTTTTTTGGGATCTTGTCATCATAAAGTACTGAAAACTTAATTAAGTACTAGTTTGTTCTGCTACTAAAATGATAATTTTTTGTCATTTCCCATGCACTGATCAACACCACTTATGATATTTGCGTGATATCTGACTTGTCCATTGCAAGAAACAATTATTTTCTTTATAATGCATTCACCTTATATTGCTCAGTAGAGGGGGAGAGACAGATGTTGAAGCAATTGAAATATTAATTTCGGAGCTATTTGATTTTAAAGCCTTTCAATTTATTAGTCGAATGAATGAAATTAAACTAACGGTAAGGTTAAGAAATTTTTGATCGTCTGGTGTTTAAACTAAAAGGTTGTATACTTAACGTTCACAGATTGAGTAAATGGAGAAAGGTTCTACAACTTTGTGTTATGTGTGTGATTTCAAACTGATCACAACAAGCAAGTCCATATTCTGCTCTCATTTTACGTCTCATTCTGTTTAACAACCCCTGTGAAATACTTTTCCGGGTATTGAGAGAAGAGTGATGCCCTTGTAGTTATCACAGTCGTTGAGATCGCCTTTCTTTGGTATTTCGATCAGGAGTCCTTCTTTCCAGTCTATTGGCACTTGTTCCTCATCCCAAATCTGCTATGGGTTATTATTATTACATATATTTCTATTAGATACCATTAAGTAACTTATTATGTATATTCATATTCCTGTTATCATAAACTTTAATTTGACCTATTGGTTACTGTTATACGATTTACCGTTCTCAAATTATTCCCAATATATTAGTTACAGTCTCACACCCACAGCCACTTTTAGCTTCGATCGTGTATAATTGTTATTTTTTTATTTTATAGTGTGACGCGGTCTGGTTTGCTTGCATATAAACTACATGTGTTTGAAATATATTATTCATACAGTGGAGGCTGAGACTCAGCGAAAAGGGCTAGGCCAGAAGGACCAATAAAGATTCAGAGTGGATGCAAGGTTGCTAATACCATTTGACGTGTCTTTGGTTTAGTACAAAAACTAGTCATATAAGTCTGTATTCAGATTGACGATTTTGTCACGTGATTATGGACAGGGAACGAAGTTTATACATATATATTAAGTAATTCATCAATTCGTGTTGGAAACGAAACATCTGGAAGTAGTATTTCAGATTCTTGACTGATTTTTAGACTAAGTGATAGGTCGCAATTATAATATGGTTACAAGCAAAGTATATCGTCTCTATCCATGGTATGCTTCTAAATACTGGATTAAGTTCCAATCATGTCATCATAAAAACCTTTAAATTTCTTGCTGAGTATGTTAATGAAGATTCATATTTATTACACATCCAAACGGCTGTATAACTTTTAAAAATAAACTAATTGAAAAGTGTTGTACTACCAATTAATATGTGTAATCAGATTGATTAGTGTATTTTTTTAATTTCTGATTGATTTCTTGTCATCAGAAGTAAGAAACAAAAGCGCAAACGAACTTATCAACAATCAAATGAACAACCGACTGTGATCGATCTTACTAATTCTGATGATCCATGTAATAATAGTTTGACAGAACTAACATTATCAACAACTAGAACTGAATCAATTGAAAATTTGCCAATATTCAATGTTTTGTCGTGGAATATTCAAGGTTTGGAGTCAACAAACTTAAACAAACGAATGATGTCTGTAGTGGAGATAATAAAGAAGTACATAATTTGTATTATATTCATATAAATCGTTTTCGTTCAATAGTGTTATTTGAATGATATTGTTTTCATTGTTCAAAGCCGTTTGACAAAATATTCTAATGAAACAAATTTTTTGCATATTGACATGTGTTAAACAACTTGAGCGGATCCATCATTACTTCAACATTTAAACCAGTTTCATTCGACTCGTCAATTAGGTGCCATAGAAAACAAAGGTTTTTGGCTGTACATAGTTTAGTCCAGATAAAGATGGGCTATCAACTGATTAACCCATTTTTCACAGCAAAATAGTTTTTCATTCATGTCATGCCTACGTTTGGTTTAGAAAAAATGTTTTCCTTTGTTGACTTTTTACTTTAAACTCTTTTCAATAGAAATGTTTGTGCGCCGTACTTTTGTAATAGTATAAATTTGCCAACTATATATATATATATATATATATATATATATATATATATATATGAAGTTTTTATGGGCGTACATGTGCAATTCTCAACTTATTGATCATAGACCTTCAGTGCACCCCCGACATTTCAACTAACCTGTTTTAGAAAGTCAACAGTCACACCTATGGCACTCCATTTCTATTCCCCTTTGATCTGTGAGGTATTAAGGAAAGATATTATCTTCAAGTGAATACAATGAATTAAAGTAGTGAAATAGTTTCCAAGGCTACATCAAAATGGAATAAACTTCTAGTCAACGTGCAAATAAGTCGATCAAATGTATATTTTTTTATTGAATACACCCTAGCGGACAGAAACATTTTTTAGTTTACTAATAGAAATATTCAGTTGTGTGCATTTCGATCAAATCTATCTTAAGCGCCCCTTAAACGTACAGCTATATGTTGGAAAGCCTTGTATGACTTCACGACTATGTTAGAGAATTTCATGTCATCACGGGGAAATAATCAGCCATATTATATTCGTCTCAAAGATGATAGATGTTTACCTTTTGAACTAGTTTTTATATTACTATTCAGGCTTCACTGAAGAAAGTAAATCAATGGTAATCTATAGAATGAATATATATGGCTTGAACTTTCAGTTGTAAGTCATGAACAAATGAACGTTATACTCACTTGGTAATCAATTTATGAGTTTGATAATGTCTTAACTTCTGACTGTCTTTCAGCCCACTTGACATTTTCGTGTTTGTATCGTTATTTCGTTATCCCAAAAATCCGTTAGCGTTGTTGCAACTTCTGATGTACTGTTTATTTCCCTTATTAACTAGATCATTTTGCAATATACGTAAATCATTTCACTTTAATGCTTTCTTTCCATTGGATTCCGTAAGACCAAATCTTTGAATATTCCTATATGCCAAAGCAAAAAACACGTTCCGAGAGATCATATTATTCTTAATAGATAGTTATTAAACTAATCGATTTAATATAACATTTGTGTAATGCGTCACCTCATTACATTACTCATAAGTAACCATTGTTTTATCTCTCATTTCTATTGGTTAATCAGAACCTTACTATTACTTCGTTGGGAAATGTAGTTATAGTAATCATTCGATCATACTCAACTGACAATTTTCTCTGCATTTGCTTGAAGTTAAGTGTTTCTTACGATAATTTCATCGCTTCGAATGTAAGTTTGTAAATTAAACTAAAATATAATTACATTAAAAAACTATGTATACATGTCGAAGCACCTGTCTTCTGTCCTTTGACTTTATTCGATTTCTAGGTGAACGAGAGCGTCAGGTGTTTTACTCGGTAAACTTTCAGACTGGTTTTTAGTCTAAACTTTTTCACAAATAGTAACACTATTCACATCAGTTACATCATAAGATTTATTCGACTGATACTGTAGAAATACTGCAATCAAACTGTATTCAATGCAGTTATGCTTTATGTACATATTCACATCATTATTTATTTTTAAGTTGATTTAGTTTAATATCATTGAATTCTGGACTTTTATCTCGTACTGTATGAAATTGTTTGCATGAAAATTGAAAAATTGATGTTCACTCAAACATTCCAAGGTGTTAGTAAATGAATAGTAGTTAAAGTTTTTAGGTACATGATACTGGCTCTGTAGCTTTCTCTTTTCTAGAAATAGGTTTTGGACAAAATTTACTAATTTTATCAGTATTTTAATACTTGCCGTTATTTGAAGATATGGTTTTCTCATGATTCGCTTTTAAAGTCACAGTTTATATAACCGTGTATACGGTCGCCTAAATTGATCATGTGAACTGAATTAATTGAATAGGTTGACTACTTCACTTTTCAACAAAGTTGTATTAACTCTTGGGTTGATATCTGGTAAAATGATCAACAGAAATTCAAAGATCTCAGTTGTCCTTTCTCAAATTCCATCACTAGTGGCGTAAGTAAGATGTCTATCTCCCAACCAAAAGATGAGTAGACTGTGCGGCAGTCCGCTCTACTTTACTGTGAAACATGGGCTTTGAAAGTTAAAGACATGTTTCAACTGATTAATTTTGATCATACGTTTCTATGAAGCATCAATAATCTATCGTAGAATAACTAACTAAGCAGTATTGAGGTTAAGCAAAGATGACGAATTGGTCAAGGAAGTTGTAAACCTTCATTAACTAAGATGACTGGGACTTGTGGTGCGTAGGTCTAACCACTGCCTACTTCAACAGGCAATAATAGCTAGTATAGAAGTACACTGGAAAGAAACTAGTGGGAGTTGCAAAACCAAAATTTAGCATCAGTCCATGAAGTCGTTAAATTGACTGTACAGTGTTTTTAGATGCAGACTACCTAGTAGGAGTCTGCACGATTACTGCGATCAGTGGTTGATGTTGGATAATATAACTCAGAATTGTTGACAATGATGCAGATACGTTCACTCTTTGTGTTCCTCCGTATATTTATCCCCAATATTCCTTCATATATACCTTATTATTATGATGATGATGCCTTTTTGAATTATATTCTGAATGTTTAGTTTTTTTTTTAAAATTATAATTGTTACTGCATTATTTCAACTCCTTTGTTATTTATCTTGTTAGTTTCACCTTTCCGTGATAATGTGATATAGTAAATTTGAGCAACACATTATTCCTGGGCTCTACTTTTGTTATCATAGATTGACTTGTAAAACCACCTAGATTGAGTTAAAAAGGAAGTAATTTTCCTTGACAAATGAAAAGCTTTCTTGTGATTACAGACTGACCAAATTTCGGGACAGACAATTGTCTTATTCTAACCTAACTATCTGTTTTTCAGATGGTTCAAAATTCGAGATCCATTTTGTTAGGATTCCTAGTGTGTATATTGCGAAGAAATTCAAATATATAACAAAACAAAATGATATCTGTCGTTTTTTTTTTAAGATTTAAATTGTTTTTAACCTATATTGAAAGATAATTCCCATTAAAACATTAAAGATTATAATCATGAAGTTCTACGAAGGGATTTCTTGAACGAATTTATTATTATCAATTTACTTATTATCAAGCTGTACAATCGTATATATATGGAATTTTTTGTTCAAGTACTAATTATTATTATTATTGCATTTCTCCCCTTACGTGTGTCTCAAATCCTCATTAGTTTATTCATAATTGCTCATGATATCACTTTATTTACTTTTTACACGACCATAACCTTTAATTATTGTAACAAAAATATTTGAATCATCCTACTACATTCAAGTTATAACTCGTTATTAACTTATTAAGTCGATTGTTATTATTTTTGTTACGTAATCTAGTATTATAATCTTTCTATTACGTCATCTTGGTTATTCCATGTTCATATTTCTTCACGGAATTAGGGTTGACATTAAGCCCACGGCAATTAAGATTCCCTACCACCCATTTCTAAAAAATTGTATGGTGTGAAAGAAAAATTTAGCGATCGGTGATTGGTGTACTCGTTTTGCAAGTGTGTACTCAAGTGATAATGAATAAACATTTTGTCACCTTTAATCATTTTGTAATTGGTCGTAAACTGTTCATCTTTGTAATCTGATTAGTTGAAATTGAAATCGCATCTGGAGCTGTGATTGGATGTCAGAATTTTGATTTTTACATTTGAAATTTAACGATAGTGAATACATTTTTTTGTGTAATCTTAGTCTTGTAAGAAATTTAGACATTTTAAGAAAAAAACACCAACTTAGTGAATGTGTATTGGGATAAATTTTTGATTTCCGATCAAGTGATTTAATGTCACGAGTACTTATATGTATCAAATAAAAAGAAAGTTGAGTGAAAAAGGAACTGAAAATCGATTTGAATATTTGATAATAGTGATTACTGAATTCGGTCGGTTGTCTAATGCTGAATAACCAATTAATAAACAAATTATTACCGAAGTGTGTACATCAGTTTTTTTAGTAACACATGGTCTGTTAATCGGAGAAACAAATCAACATATCCAGTAGCCGTCGATAATCTTACAATACATGAAGGCCGGACATTGAGTGTTCATGGAAGCCCTTCATGACAAAAAATGTTAATAACATTTATAAAATTACCTCCTCCGTCTGATCCGCTGTGACGAATCGCTAGATGTTATACGGCCATGTCTCCAGCACACAAATTTAATGTACGAGTTTTCATTTCTGCACAAATGCGAATCTCGAACAGTAAGTTGGTCTTTCATAATTTGTGATAGCGGACTTCAACGCTTCAACCGATGGGAACGCAACGAGAAACAAGGTTGTCAAAAAGACTTCCTCCATTTCTGTTACGTGAGAAACAACAGCGTTTGTACTAGGCACGTTACTCTCCTCCATAATGATGATTAAAATGTACTTCGTCGACAAGTACTGATGTTTTATAGCAATCCGACAAAACATAACTAACAAATTAAAAACGAACTTTAAAACTAGTCATTTCATTGGACGAAACGGGATGAAAAATATTGCAATTTTGGGTTGAAAAAACATTTTAAAAAAGGGTGGGTGGGGGGTTTTTTAAAAAATTCCCGTGGGGCTAATGAATTTTCGGAATTAGTACTTTAACAAAAATAATTTCATATTTATACGATTGCACAGCTTGATAATAAATTCGTTGAAAAGAGATCCCTTCACAGAACTTCGTGTTTTTATTTGGATATGGTAAGATTTGAATTATTGCAATAGGTATTCAACAGCTTGTTATATATATAGCTTCAAATAACATCGATAAAATACATATCTATCTATTTTTATGCTTGGGTTTCCGATAACTTGCATTTATACCCTATTCGACTGATTTTCAAATTTTTAGAGAAGAATTCCATGTAGTTTGCTTACAAGAAGTTATACTTGTCTGTTTGGAAATTCTCCGTGAGAAGCTAGATTCAACGTATGATATTTTTTCTGCATCTGATCATAACTCTCTATGGGATTATTTTGTTGTCATTTTAGTTAAAAAGCATCCAGATATAAAGGTTGACGCGGATTCTGTTAGTGTAAGTGATAACTTTTGTGTTTTTGTCTTTTATTTATTCATTCATTTTTTCCTTACATCTTTGATTTGGCAGTTGACTGAATTATCATTGTTAACTTCAAATTTGATATGAAATACAGGGAAACTTTCACAGGTATTGTCCTTGTAGTATTCGAATTTGATTTTCTATATCGGAAAGCTATTTTTCTATTGAGATTCTGGCTGATATTTCGAATTAGAAAAGTGAAGTAAATTACGAAAAGTAAATAGTTTTAATTATAGTTGGTGTAAACAAATACTTGGTTATTAGTGAGAAGTAAACATTTAAGGTATCCATTTTCGGACCTCGTTAAAAAACAAGCATTTATTGTTGTTTGAAGATATCAGGTAGTGTATTAACAGCTTATTTTAAGCGAGGAATTTCGAACCTCACCGATACTGCAAAATGTGTTTACTCGCTTTTCCGGTTTTATTTACTTCATTATATAAAACAATCCATTACGAGTTGCTCTAAGATGAATGTCGCGAAGTTCTGCCGAAGATTTTTATATTAGTCATCTTGTTAATCGAGTCGAAAGTTTAGATGGAGGTTAACCTTAAATCTTCAACTTACTGAAAATCGAAGAAATCTTCAGGATCTATTAGGATTCTAATACAATAACTGATGAGTACTTGTGTATGTATTTCTGATAAATTTCATACTTATATGAAACTTAATCAATCCTTACTTATTTTTAGTGATTTTTCAACTGGTATCAGTTCATCATGAAAATTGATAAAAGTAGATATTATATGATGATTGATATTGATGTTTGCCTGTCCGATTGAAAGGAGTAACCAATCCAAAAAACATCAAGACTTTCGATCACATATCAATATAAAGTGGTTAGAATATTTAAACTGAATGATTGTCATTGACACAAAACGTCGTAATCTACTGTAAGAGAACTTCAAAATAATTAATATCGATTTTCTTTTCATATGTTATACTTGACATCAGACATTCCCAACAGTTGCCCTTTCAAATTCTCTGATAGTCTTCTTTTATACTTTAATCCATTGAAATGCTTATGCCCGTGATGACGTTTGAAACTACTTCGTCATTGCTTACTAGATTATTATCGCTGATAATTATAAACGGGGCAAAACCACCCATAGATTATTCCCAATTTAATATTCCTCTTAAAATAATAATAAACAATCACTTCATTTTTGAAACTATTGAAATAAGCACGAAGAATGAAGTGATTTTTATTGATGGAAGCGGTAAAACTAGTAAGGAACCACTACCGCTAGTCGAATTATATTTTGAAAAAACACGATCATGTAACTGTAACTACTGTTGTGTCCTATTCTTACTAGACTAATTAAAAACTATCGCTAAAGCCAAATATTTTGATTACTACGTGTAAATCTGAATTGATGTGCTTTACAATATTCAATCTTCAATGACTAGTTACCATTTCAGGCTTTCTGATAGAAATTTTGGTTCAAATAAAAGCTTTTTTATTCCTGAGAAAGCATGTTTTTTAATCTTATTTACATTTCCACTAATAAAGTAAAGAGTTTCAACAGTTACTTGTTACCAATTGTTTTTTTTGTATTTTGTTTTCCTTCACGATATAATATACAAATAGATATAAATAGTGATGTTATGATTTTTATTTTAACTAATAAATTATAAATAAAAATCATCTCAAACTGAAAAGATCACACGTCACCCGAGTAGATTGTGATGTAGGTAGGTGGGTTTTTCTTTTTTTTTTGTTCTTCAGTGAATTTAATGTGAAATGATTTACTTTCACAAGATTCATTCAACTATCTTGTATCTGCCAATTTTATTTTCCACTTGTGTTTTAAAGAGTAATTTAAACCTGTTATCTGTATTATTTAAATGTTTTGACGTCAAGAGTTTATGTTGATGAAACCATTTTTATGTGTGGAACTAAACAGATATTCAGTGCTTTTTAAGTTGCACTGACTTTTCAGTTAACATTAATTCATGATTTAAACTGTCAGTGTTTTTCTTTAAAATTATTTCCTTGACATAATTCTTATCTTTAGAAGAATTCTATTCATTAAATTATTTCTTAACATTAAGCTAACCTTGTTGCAATGGTGTGGTACACAGGTATTTTTTGCAATTTTCTTGTGTAACATAAAAGCACAACTAATTACTTTACATATGCGTCGTAATATTCAAATAAATAACTGTAAACAAACGCCTACATCAGAGACTTATTAATTTTAAGAACTCAATTTATTGTGTACATTGGATTGTTAGTTCTTTTATGACAATAAAAATTACATTTAATAAACTATTAATTACTGATCCCAGTTCATTTTGTAAATTTTCTATATTTATTTACTTTGAAGAAGTGATTTACATTAAGTCACTAAAACACCAGAAATACAATTTTCTACTCATTTGGTATATCATTAAAATAAATATTTATTATTAACACTATTGTTTAGCGAAAGATCACTCAGAATAGAATTATCTAAAAACTGTATCACAAGTTCATTAGTTCCAGATAGTAATTACTTACTTGAATTGGACTCGAATCACTCAAACGTTGATAATATGCTTCATCAAAATATTGATCCTTTTTTTACTAACTACTTTTCAATACTTGTTCATATAATGAAAATTATAGAAAATAAAGGTCAATTTACTTGAAAATTGCATTCTTAATGTACTACTAATAATAGGCTTTGGTAAAACACTTTCGTACACTTCATTGTTCTACCTCTTACATTTGTGTTTTTTTTCTTTATTCACTTACTCAGATTCAACCATTTCCTAATTCTGTAATGAATCGTCATCTGCTATCTATTGATCTGAACTTATCACAGTTTCTATCCAAGTCCAATGTAGAATTAAATCTACGAATATTTACTACACACTTGGAAAGTTGTGCAGAATATTCTGGTGAACGAGTGACTCAATTGAAAAGTGTTTGGGATACAATGTCCAGTTATGTCAAGTGTGGCGATTCTCAAGCTCGTTTAAACAAAAGCCGTGCAAGTATATTTTGCGGTGACCTTAATCTGAGAGATTCAGAGGTAGGTTCTGTCGCTACCTTTTTTCATGACTTCAATTAACAGTAACTATACTAAGGGTTATTCGATTTCATCATTATTCAATCAACTTACTATGTATGATATCGTAGAGGATTGCTTAATGAAAAACTACCGAAAATATTTTCATTATGACGTACCTGGAAGAAATAATCCTATTCTAGAGTAGATTTTAGACTAAATGAAACGAACGTTTCCTCACCCTTTCGTTTCACTTACTAGTAGATATCACAACTGTTTCCACAGCTTTTTGGATATCATACCAAGCTATCTCAAGGGTATCATTCTTTCGGCTGATTAGCTCATTCTCCAGTTGTTCCTGAATTATATCTTTAACTTTCTCGTCATTAAGTTGTACACCAAGGGGTTTTCTTGATGTGGCTTTTCTCCGCCCATCAAGATGCAGACAAATATGTGTTTGGACTATAGTATGATCCGGATTCAAACCTGTGCTCCAGAATGAACAAGGCCTCTATCGAGTCCCTCTAACGATGATTAGTGTCGTGATCTATTTGAGTAAATTGTATGGTTCGCCACGTCAGATGATGTTCCTCATGTTTAAAGTTGGTGTTTCTTCTTTAAAGTAGACTGTTATCTGAGCATGGTTGCAGTAGACGATTGCCACTATCTGTTCACTGAGCGGCGACATTGTAGGACCCATTTAGGAGCTTTTTGGTCCAAATCAGTCAACTTACTCGAGCATTAAAATCACCTATCACTATTACTGCATCATAGCGTTTAGCCTTTTGAAGGAACCTAAATAACCTCGTGGAATTCATCTTTTACTTTATCCGAGCTGGTCAATGTGAGCGTAGGTTGGATGTTTCTGCTGCATATTTTAACTAATTACGTACGGAATACCTTCACTGCAGATTTAGATTTGAGATTATATGTGATTGGTTGCCGCATCTTATTTTATGTACGAAAAATCAACCTATTAACACCTAGAGTATGTATCATCAACAATAAGATTAATTTAATTGCGAAATTAGTTTTCTTCGTTAGGTAAACTCTTCGCCATAGAGAATCAAAATCATCTTTAAATTTACTTGGAGCATTATACCCCTGTTGGTTTTACTTTAGTAAATTCAAAAATTATAAATGAAATTCAAACTGAATTGTAAGTCGTATTTAAAGTGGTGTTTTAGTCCGATTCATTACTTCCAAAATGTTTACTTGTAGCACCGAACTATAGCTTTCTATATCTTGTTGGTGCCTTAGGTTCTCGCACACATGCTCTAAGTAAACGTGTTTTTATTAACTCCGTCATGTGACTTCCGGATTATATTGATGATCTTCTCAAGTACACCATAGTGTCGAAGAAGGTTGCGTAAGTTTCTCTTATCCACGCTGGCAAACGCTTTCTCATAATAAATGAAGTTGATGTATAGTGACGAGTCCCATCTGATTGATTGTTCAACGATGATCCGTAGTGTCGTGATTTGGTTTGTGCACGACCGATCCATACGAAATGAAACTTGTTGATCTCGAAGCTGGACGTTTACTGAATCTTTCATCTGTTTCAGCAACACTCTGTTGAAGACTTTTACTGGTACTGATAGTGTGATGCCTCTGTAGTTTTCTCATATAGCTTTGTGTATGCGTCTGTGGGGGAATATTTTGCCACCTATAACCATTTTGTTAAAAATCTCGTCATTTTCGTTCATTCTCCTAGTACTTGTCATATTAACATATATTCCTACCCGGTATTGTCCATTCCGACTTTGGCATTTAGGTCTTCTATCAGGATAGTCAGGTTGTTTCATGATCACTTCACTATGATCATTTGCAGCTTCTCATAAAACTGATCTTTTTCGTTTTCAGCTTTATTTTATTTCTTGTTAATCTGGTGGGTCTGCCAAATGTTTGTCCTTTTTTCTATTTAAACCAGACAGATGTATTTTCTATTTTTACCACTAATTTGTATGTATTTTAAAAATCGGCTACACTAGTTATAGGAAGGTACTTTAGACTATATAAAGTATTTTCCTTCTTATCCATTATAATAAATGGCCCATAATCGTAAATGACCTTTTATCCCTTCCGTTTTATACCCAATTCTTTTTACACATGAACACTTTCTGGAGATTTGTTATTATTTATTTCTTACTTGGTTTTTCACATAACTTATTTCGTGCTTTTAGTACTCAGGAATTTACAAGAAATGTAGCCTTTGATCTTTTCCCAGAAATCGCTGTGTCGTAATCAAATGTTTTGATTTATCTGTTTTGTTTATGTACCTATCCTTGATTTATAATGTGCTGTATTCATGATTGTTTTTTACATTCGTAGGTCGGCGTGTTAGGTGGCTTACCTAGTGGGATACATGATGTATGGTATGAATGTGGACGTCGCCATGAGATAAGGAATACTTGGGACCCTATGCACAACCTAAATGCTCGACGTCAATTCAGAGGTATTCCTCGAGCTCATATGACTTTCCGATATGATCGCATGTATGCGTTAGGCTCCAGATTAAAACCCGTTGATTTTGGCCTTCGTGGAATCGAAAAGGTTAAGAATCTTCCGTGTTTACCTTCTGATCACTGGGCTATACTTGGTCGATTCTTATTAACTGGTTTGTAATCTTCAATGTTCTAGTTCTTGTGAACCACTTCCCGCATTTAAAAACACAGAGTTCTCTTTTTTTTTACTCCACAGTTGTGTATAAAAACAGATGCTTAAATGAATATTTTCAATTTATTCCTATTTTTGAGCATACAGCTACTTGCTATGTATCAAATAACAGTTCTATTTAAATCTGTATATACAGTAAGGTTTTACCTTACGATATTATTGCACTCTTCAGTGTCAGTTAGATAAGTAGTCTGCAATTAACGTTCTGGTTACAATTAAATGGCATTGAATGCACCTTTATTGCTGCGCGCAGTTTGGTGTTCCAAATCCTATATGAACTGTGTAGGTTTCAAAAATTAAGGTTTAAATAGCGTAGTTTTGCTAATCAAGATTAATGTTTTGAGTTGTTTTTGACTCAATCGCAAGTAACAACTTAGAACCTCAAGTCTTCATTCAGTTACAAGTCCTGCAAAATTATTACAGTGATTGTTTCCACACATTTCGAGTGTAGTTACGATATTCTTGTAGTCGATAACAACAAAGCGTATGTTTATCAACGTTCTAATACTTCTGAATGAATTTAGCGTAACTGGAAATTCGTACACTTTAGAGGTACTTTTTGAAACCAAGTTATTTTGTGGAGACTCGTGCGTTTGTGGTACTCTTTGTCAACTGGTGGTCCTAGTGAGATATGTTCTGTAGTCGTTAAATTTACATCTTATTTTACACGAGGACGTTTCATAAAATTTAATTAAGGTCTTTCTGCTCATGAGTTCCCTTGATAACCTTCATATTATTGGCTTCACCGTATCAGTCATTCAATGTCCCGAGACAATCTTGAAGTTCATTCCCTTCTTTTTGATTATTACTACCAGCGAAACTAGTGGATAGATCTCTACCGCTATATTACCAGAAATTGTATACAAGACAGCACATATTTCCCAAAAAGCATCAATTGTTTAAAACGCTAGCAGTCATAAATTTAAGCCTTTATCCGTCAGCTTGAAATCAAAGAGTAGATTGTCGCTATTATAAAGAAAAGTAATCTGACTATGCTGATTACCTACTCCTGGGTATATCATAGTGAGTTCTAATTCTCCAAAGTAAAAATTCGTAGAAATTCCGCACTTATTAAGATCACCAACGTTGTTGCTCTTTTGAATGAAGATATGTTCTCCATTTTCTCTTTCAAAGTGTTGCTTTAAAGCGCGTGAATATTTCGACTGTCGTAAACAAGAGAACAAAGCTTGTGGAGTGACATAATACTACCAATATATATTTCGATATTTAAATTAATAGCAGTCTCACTCAATTATTTTGAAGTGATGCGACTAACATTGGCAGATAGGACTCCACGAATTAAGCAATCTAGGTTGCATGAATATCAAACAACAATCGATTATATGATGATGCAACAGGTCAGCTATAGTGACTGCATTTCCGGAAAGTGCCGTTCTTCTAGTTCCACCTGTAGCTCATCTAGATTTATTGCCGGTCCCAAGCCCAAGTATAGGAGGAGGGTTGGGCATGGGGTTAGTGACCTCATCCCGTAGAAATCTAACTCGCTAAGACAACGATGACCAATAAAAATAATTCGAACACAAACTCGGCTCTGGGATTTAGAAGACTTATGACGCGTCATAGTAAAAGTCGGGTTCCTGAGGAAGTCAGGAGGACGATGCCACTTATAGAAACTGAAACAACGATTGGTATGGGCACTTGTAACGTACAGACGATGTGGGAAACCGGGAAGATCAGTCAAGTAACAACGGAAACGAGGAGATTCAAATTGGAAGTACTGGGAACCCATTTTACCCAAACTAGACAACAAAGGTTAGATACGGGAGAGATGCTGTACACTGGTCACGGAAAAAGAAATACTCCACCCACTCAGGGAGTTCCTCTAATGCCGCCCAAAAAAGCACGTAATGCACTTGTAGGATGGGAATCTCACGGATCCAGGGTCGTCGAAGCATCCTTCAAAAAAAGATGTAGGGAATCACGTTGGATGATATCCAATGTTATAAACCCACCAATGATAGCAACGACGACAATAACGATCAATTCTATCAGCAGCTGTAATCATTCAAAGCGAACTCATTGAATTCTAGGTGACTTCCAACATCAGGTTGCAAGCCTTACAGGATACACTGAAATAAGAAGAACGTACTATGGAGGATGACTGGAAGAGAAGTGAAGAAGCATTAAATTCAGCGTGTCATGAGGTGCTTGGGTGCAAGAAGCATCATCATAAGGAAGGGATCTCTATCGAAACCATGCACAATATTCAAGAAAGGAAGTACAAGAAGACAGCAATTAACAACATTCAAGGCACAAGTTAAATACGCAGAAGCGAGCAAGCAAGTGAAGAGGAGCTTTGGCACTGGCAAGCAGAAATACGTGGAAGAGCTAGCTATGACAGTAGTAAAAGCTGCAAGAGAAGGAAATACGAAACAGCTATATAACACAACAGAGAAACTAGTAGGGATGGCCATCAGACGAATCAAGAGTGGGAAAGCAGAAGGACCTAACAATACACCATCTGAAACTCGGTAATCAGACATGGAAGTAAGTAACAATGTGCTTTACGTCCTATGCAGAAAGAGTTGGAGGGAAAAACAAGCACAGATGGACTTGAACGACGTCAACTTCACCAAGATCTCAAAGAGAGCAAATCGGAGCAAATGTGAGGTCTTTAAAAGAATCACACTACATTCGTACCAGCAAATGTTTTTAACAGTGTTAGTGAAACAGATGAAAGATTCAGTAGACACCAAACTTCGTGATCAAAATGTCTCATCCCGTGACGATCAGTCATGCAAAGACTCAGTCGTGACACTACGGGTCATCGTTGAACAATGATTTGAATGGAACTCGTCACTATCCATCAACTTCATTGATTAAGAAGCGTTTGACGGCGTGAAGAGGACACACGAACAAATGAAGGTCAATACAGTCAATGTACCATCAGACTCTGCATCAGTAGGCCTCAGCATACACAAGGGGAAATGAAAGATCCTGAACTACAACCCAAACAACTACCCAATCACACCTAATCCACGTTCAACGCTTCCCGATTAAATTTCTCAGCTCGCAACCTGGCTAGGCAACCCTTGTTGGAAGCCGCAAATGATTTGAAAGCTTGGCAAAGACCTTTACACTGGCACAACAGGATGCAATATATTTATACGGAGAAAAATAAGAATAACCAATAATATTTTATGTTTAACATAATATTTGTAAGAGCGAGTCACGCTACTTGTGACCGCATAATAAATATTGCTTTTTTCATGCAAAACAGGATGATTGAAGTTTGTCTATTTACATCAACTGTAGGGTTAAACATTTTAAATATTTGCTGATAACATGGATATTGAACATTGTGTAAAACAGCGGAGGGTTTGTGTTTTGCGATACGGTACAGTCCACTTCACTGTGTACTAAATACAAATTGAAAGCTTGCCATTAGTCATTCAGAGTTTTAAATTATTTATTATTAGGGATGTCAGGTAACAATAAATGTCCGCCTAAAAAGACTAGATTCTTTTACTTTAGTGCTTATTATGAATAGGCATATGACTTTTAAGATATAATTCTGGTTGCATATTGTCACGTAATGTTTGAAGAAATTTATTTCCTTTCTATGAGTCTGCCGCAAAACTGGCTCACCAGCAAAATAGTTACCGGAGACCAATTCTACACCCGTAATGTCAAAACTATTATTATGATGTTAACGACTCATCTTATTTGTGCTTATACTTATTGCGTTTTTCTTTCTATCTGTGGTTATCGTTGCTTACACGGCCGATAGATTAACCATGTTCGAGGGAAATTGTCGAATTTTATTTTCGTAGTTTTTTCAGATTTGCTAACTCTTGATTTTTAAGGATTTTGAGTCTGTGATAGTACCAAACGTTGTTAGTGTTATTCAAATTGAATTTGTGCACATGTCAAAAGAAGAACGCTTGCCCGTTTCATAAACTATGTCATTATCAGTTTCAGTTTGGAAAGGACAGGAGGCTTGATGGCCTGTGTTAGTCCTGGCAATGGTGGTCTCTCAGTTGATCCAACTTTCTTTTGAAAGAGTCGACGGATGGAGCCTCAACCACGTGCTGAGGTAGTGAATTCCACTCGTTGATGATTCGATGGGAAAGTCGATAGTCAGCTGACAAGTAATTTGTTCTGGGCTTGTGAACTTTTTTGGAGTGTCCTCGTAAATTCTCTGTTTTGGAAGACAAGAAAAATGAGGGCATATCAGGTGCAAATTTATCACTAAGCAATTAGAAAACTGTAATCAAGTCGCCTCTAGTTCTGCGATATGACAACGGGAAAAGGTTCAGCTTGGCCAGTCGAGCATCATACGGAAGCTTCGCTATTCCTTGGATCAGCTTAGTTGCCGTTCTCTGAACCTTTTCCAGAAGCTCACTGTCTTTTTAAGCAGGGGCTAGCCGCTTGTATGCAGTACTCAAGTTTAGGACGTACGAACACTGTATACAAAGTCAAAAACGTTTTAGCGTCGACATGACTAAAAGCCCTACGTATTGACCATAACGTTCTAAAACCTTTGGCGGCTATTGCACGGCAGTGTGCAGTAGTCTTTAAGTCTTGGCTAACGATGACTCCTAAGTCATTATATGTCTGGACGACAGGTAGCTCAGTGTTATTCATCGTGTATGTATCTGCACCTTGATGACCGATATGCATCACAACACACTTGGAAGTATTTATCGGCAACTGCCAGGTTTGAGACCATTCAGATAATTTTTCAGGTCATTTTGAAGTTCTAAGCTATCACCCTCACATCGTATCGTTTTCCATATCTTGACATCGTCAGCATATAGCAAGACCGATGATGATAGGAGACGAGGAAGGTCATTTACATACAAGAGGAATAGCACTGGCCCCAAAACTGTACCCTGGGCACTCCACTAAGCACAGTTTCCCAGCTAGATAACTTTGAGTTCACCCGTACTCTGTTGGCGCCCAACTAGGAAGTCTTTTTCCACATC